TACTAAGCCTCATAATGTTCTAAATGTGTGATAAGAAACACTGGAACTACTAAGCCTCATAATGTTCTAAATGTGTGATAAGAAACACTGGAACTACTAAGCCTCATAATGTTCTAAATGCATGATAAGAAACACTGGAACTACTAAGCCTCATAATGTTCTAAATGTGTGATAAGAAACACTGGAACTACTAAGCCTAAACATTGTCTAGAGGCTTCTAACAAACATCAATGGCCTATTAAAACCATTTTAGTTGTCCGTGAAAGTTAGCAGGTTGAGAAACGCCATCTAGAGGCTTCTAACAAACATCAATGGTCTATTAAAACTATTTTAGTTGTCCGTGGCAGTTAGCAGGTTGAGAAACACTGTCTAGAGGCTTCTAACAAACATCAAATTTAGTTTATTTTTATTCAATGTGTTTTAATGATATCAAATATATTAAAAACTTGAAATAATCTTTTTTTAATTTACTTAAATGGAAAGTTTCACTAGTAGAAGTGACAAAGTATGCTAGCAGCATGTAGTTTCTAATAGCTTGTGGCAAATTTTGTTGGCTAAACATTCTTGAGCTACACTTCTTTAAAGTGATCTAACCATTTCTGTTTCTCTATACTTGACAAAATAAATAATGAATCTGTAACTTCTTATACAAAGTAAGTGCAAAAAATCTACTTTATTTACCTGCTAATACTTTTTAACACATTGGCAGAAAACATGAACCTCAGGTTTTAAAATGTGTCTAGTAGAAAACATGAACCTCGGGTTTTAAAATGTGTCTAGCAGAAAACATGAACCTCGGGTTTTCAAATGTGTCTAGCAGAAAACATGAAACTCGGGTTTTAAAATGTGTCTATTTCTGAATCCAAAGAGTGAAAATTCGCTAAAAAACAGTGAACACAAATTTCTATATTTTTAAAATACCCAAAAGTTTTAATCCTTGTTACTGCAGTGTTCATCACCTCTGTAGTTTTCTCTCTCTCTCTCTCTTGGGTTCACTAAAGAACAGTTAAAGTTTTAAATACCTGTAAGTTTTGGTTCTTGCTCCCGTGCAGTGTTCATCACCTCTGTAGTTTTCTCTCTCTCTCAGGTTCACTAAAGAACAGTTAATACAAACAGTTAAAGTTTTAAATACCTGTAAGTTTTGGTTCTTGCTCCTGTGCAGTGTTCATCACCACTGTAGTTTTCTCTCTCTCTCTCTTGGGTTCACTAAAGAACAGTTAAAGTTTTAAATACCTGTAAGTTTTGGTTCTTGCTCCCGTGCAGTGTTCATCACCTCTGTAGTTTTCTCTCTCTCTCGGGTTCACTAAAGAACAGTTAAAGTTTTAAATACCTGAAAGCTGTGATTCTTGATTCTGTGCAGTGAGTTCACTACTAGACTGGCTGCTGTTTGTTTGAACACTCCCCAGTGAAGAAGTAGAGTAAGATCCAATACTCAGTCTTGAAGGGCTTTCAAATTGTTGAGCAACTGCACTTATCTCTGGTGTTGTTTTTGGTGGAGCTTCAAAAAACTGACGCCTTAGCTCTGCTGTAGATGCTCTGCTTCCTACTGCGTGGGTTTTCTGGTCAGTTAAAGTAATAGCTGTGGTGGATGTGTAGATACTGGGTTGACTATCATGGTTCTCTACTGATGTATTGCTGGTGGGGGAAGGCTGGACCATTTCCATTTCACATATCTGTTCTGCTAAAGAATGTGGTGTATTCTTTCGACGAGGAGGTACTGGTCGATTACTGTCTTCACTACTGATGTCTCCAGCTTTATTCTGAATCTGTATTATGTTGGACTGACTAGCCTCACTAACGTTCTTGAGAGGGAGTTCAGACCTACTTGATGACGGAAGATTTCCTGCATATCGTTTTGTTCCCATTGCTAATGAACTGATAGATTTTGGCAGAAGTGGAGATTTTTTGCAAACAGAATCATCAGGAAGAGGCAAATCTGGCATTTCATCATCAGAGTAACTTCCAGAACCAAGCCAATCATCTATATGAAGAATAATGATTTAAATAAAATGGTGTAAAAAATGCAAATTTTAATGTACTATATGAAAATAATGAAAAACACAGAATCAGATTTTATCTTATGTCACTGATTTAAAATTAAATTTCACATGAAATAAACCTTTTTTGTTTTAATGAAATACAAAAATCAAATAGTAGGCTACCTGATGAATGAGTATATTCTTCAGTCTCTGTCAGAGAAAGCTCTCTGGCACCTGTAGAAAGTGAGCCTGGGAGTGGGTAGTCAGATGAACCACCAGGAGGATCCACTACGAGACTCTCATCTACATCACTCACTTGACTGACCCCAGAAAGTGTTCGACCCAAGGTTGCTTTCTCAGCTGAAAAAAAACAAATCAATGAGTACTGACTGAGTTCATCACTATTTGTTGATGGTTAATATTATATACTCAAAACAGGGTCCTCAACCTGCTAACTGTCATGGACAATT